GAATGCGACTTAAACTCTCATTCGATTCAATACACCTTTTACCAAGAACATTGTTTAGTCCCCTCTTCCGCGCATAACAAACTAGAGCTTCAGCCTCCCCTAGCGAGCAAACAAGCCAACGTTTAGCAGTTAAAATGCGACCTAAGCACTCGTTCACATACCAAACCTTTACCTTAGTTAGCCGAACTACGACTGCTCTGATTCTTCATTCTCTTCTGAATGAAAGATACGTAGGCACAAGATTGCGATGATCTTGGCGAGCACAATCCCCCCTCTTTTCCCGTAGTCCCACGAACTATGAATGCTCTGATTTTCCACTTCTTACAAGTGAAGATACGTAGGCACAAGGGCCCCAATCCTTGGCGAGCACCCTATCTTAAAACCACCCATTTCCCCCTATAGGAGAAACCTTAGAAGAAAACAAACAAGCATAGTTAACTTTACTCTCGAATCGATCAAGAGGTTCCCGTTGAGTACAACGGACATGAGGGGTGCTAATACCTTCCTCTCATGTAATCGACTCCCGAACCTAGAATATTGGTTGCGACGACCATGTTCTTATCTCTTTTAAAGGTTTTATCGATATTTTCCTATTCCATCCTTGGAATGAATAAAGTTCGGTGGCGACTCTGTTTCGAACAGTATTTTCCGCGGCCATCGCGAGGATCGTATTTTTCGAGGTACGACAGTTACAAAATCACCTATACCTAAAAACCCAGTGTCTGCACTTAAAGACTTAAATTGGAAAATGGCCATGGATGATGAATATAACGCTCTAATTAAAAATAAGACGTGGGATTTAGTGCCACAACCCACCGGTGTTAATGTTATTCGATCTATGTGGATTTTTAGACATAAAGAAAATTCTGACGGTTCTTTTGAGAGGCATAAAGCCCGACTTGTAGGTGATGGTGCAGGTCAACAAGTTGGCATCGATTGTGGAGAAACTTTTAGTCCAGTGGTCAAACCAGCTACTATTCGTACTGTCCTTAGTATTTCTATTTCAAAATCTTGGCAAATTCATCAGTTGGATGTCAAGAATGCTTTTCTCCATGGAGAACTAAAAGAAACGGTCTACATGCATCAACCGTTGGGATTTAAGGACTCAGTGAATCCTCATCATGTTTGTCTTCTACGCAAATCACTATATAGGCTTAAACAAGCTCCTCAAGCTTGGTACAAGCGATTTGCCGATTATGTTTCTTCTATTGGCTTCTCTCAAAGCAAGTGTGATCACTCTCTTTTCATCTACAAGAAATACACTCATATGGCTTACATCTTACTGTACGTTGATGATATTATTCTTACTACTTCTTCTGATGCTCTACAAAAATCTATTATTTCACTTCTTAGTTCAGAGTTTGCTATGAAAGACTTGGGACCTTTGAGCTATTTCATGGGTATTGCAGTCACCCGCCATCAAAGAGGTATTTTTCTCTCCCAGAAAAAGTATGCCGAAGACATCCTAGTACGCGCCGGCATGTCAACTTGCAAGTCTTGTCCAACCCCAGTTGACACAAAGCCAAAGATGAGTGCCACACATAGCACTCCATATGAGGATCCATCACTTTATCGCAGCCTTGCAGGTGCTCTTCAGTATCTCACCTTCACTCGGCCCGATATCTCCTATGCAGTTCAACAGATATGTCTCTTTATGCATAATCCAATGGACTCTCACATGCATGCCCTACAACACATCTTACGCTACATTCAGGGCACACAAAATTACGGTTTGAATCTCTATCCTTCATCTACTACCTCCCTAATATCATATACAGATGCCGATTGGGGAGGATGTCCTGATACCAGGCGCTCTACTTCTGGTTACTGTGTGTTTCTGGGTGATAATTTGCTTTCTTGGTCATCAAAACGTCAACCCACTTTATCACGATCAAGTGCTGAAGCCGAATACCGCAGTGTTGCTAACGTGGTTTCTGAATCTTGTTGGCTACGCAATCTCCTTCTCGAGTTACATTGTCCTATTCATAAGACCACCTTAGTTTACTGTGACAACGTAAGTGCAATATATCTCTCTGGTAACCCAGTTCAACATCAACGAACGAAACACATTGAGATGGATATCCATTTCGTTCGCGAGAAAGTAGCTCGCGGCCATGTTCGGGTCCTCCACGTCCCTTCACGGTATCAAATTGCAGACATTTTTACCAAAGACCTTCCATTAATACTTTTTCAGGACTTCAGGGACAGTCTCAACATTAGTCAACCTCCCGCTTCGACTGCGGGGGAGTAATAGAATATCTCCATTAATAGAATATTAATAGAAAATGATTTGTCATTATCTCCATATGTAATTATATTCATGAGACATCAATTCCTTCCTAAAAAGGGATTTGGAAACAATTGTATATATTTGTGATATCACATTAATGAAAAACACAAAATTATATTTCTTTACTCGCATGTTGCTTCATCAACTACTCCAGTTGACAAGTCTTCTAGTCCCTACCATAATAAACAACATAGTTTTAACATAACTGTCAAAGTACAATAATACTAATATTTAAAAATTTCTCCTTTTACCTCCATATTGCCTACAACTATTCGACTAATGGTATCACTGATCCTTCTCTATTTCCTGCATGAATTATGTAACCAATTACAAAATTAATATATTTTAGACTACATATAACAAACTCATATAATCTAATTGAAAAAATAATTTTTAACCAGTATAATTTAATTGAAAAAATAATTTTTAATGAAATCATTTACCGTTAAAGGAATCAATAATCTCTAACATCTCCAACATGCATAAAATAATAGGAAAGGAAGAGAAGCATAACATCTCCAACGTCTGGTTGTTACTACAGGGAAATATGCAAGGATGGTTCTTTTTATATTCTTATAATAAGAATCAATTCGTAAAAAAAAAATCTCCACATTTAACAACACATGTGGATAACTTGAATAAGAATCAATTCTTAATAACATTCAAAAATCCAAACCACCCACAAGTTAAAACTTAGAATTTTCCAAATTTAAATGAAAACAAAAATTAGATTAAAAGTGGTAATCAATGAACAAGTAGAAAAAACAGTGTGTACTACCTAGCAGCTAGCGGTGACCGGTGAGAAACGAAAAATGTGCGGAGAGGATTTGTTTCTTAATCTTAGTTAAATTTTCAATCTCAAAGTGAGAGATTCCGATATTGCAAATTGCAAAATATCATAACAATACCAGTAAAATTCAACACAATCAAAATCGAATATCAACATCAAAAATATAAAAACATTATCATTATTACAATCCACGAATACGAAAAAACACATTCAATTCATATGAATCGGAACCGAAAAGAGAGCCAACGATCAAAATTAAAAGAGAATAATAATAATAATTATAGAACTAGAAACTTTATCGGAAAATTTTCTTGGTTTTTGATTGGAATGAATCTTAGTCTTAGAATCCTCTTTGACGACCTCGCCGGCCAACCGCGGGTTGAAACCTTGTTTTTGGTAGAAAACTCTCAATAGAGAGAAAATTGTAAAACCTTGTTTCTCTGTTGTGTAGTAGATTGTAGCTTTTGGGACAAAGGATTTTTTTAATTACTATAAAAAATAATGAAGATGATGAAATTGTAAACAAATTGTTACGGTTTTTAAGGAAAAAGTAAGAATATTATAATATTTGTGTAAAAGGAATTAGCTCTAATTGATTTTACATGTTCTCATTTTAATTATATTAAATTTAAACCATTCATTTAATCTAATGGTTATTGTTTAGGGTTTCACCGGTGAGGGACTTAATTGAACCCTCATCTTAGGGGAAAAAGTAAGAATATTATAATATTTGTGTAAAAGGAATTAACTATAATTGATTTTACATGTTCTCATTTTAATTATATTAAATTTAAACCATTTATTTAATCTAATGGTTATTGTTATTTAATATAATGATTATTGTTTAGGGTTTCACCGGTGAGGGACTTAATTGAACCCTCATCTTAGGAAAAAGTAAGAATATTATAATATTTGTGTAAAAGGAATTAGCTATAATTGATTTTACATGTTCTCATTTTAATTATATTAAATTTAAACCATTTATTTAATGTAATGGTTATTGTTTAGGGTTTCACTGGTGAGTGACTTAATTGAACCCTCATCTTAGACTTAACCCTGATTCAACTATAATAAATCATTTCAATATATGAAAATAAAAAAAATATGAAAAAAATAATTATTAAAATAATTTAATTATAATTTATTTATTTTTATTTTTAACTTCATAATGATTTTGTCAAAATAATTCATTCTTTTCTTCCTTCATGTAATAAAAAAAAATAGAATCATAGTGTAAAATAATTTTTAATATATACCAATTAATTTCTAGAAACATTATTTCAATAAAAAATAACTTGAAAATAAATAAAACAAAAGTAAAGAAAAAAATAAGAGTGGAAACGGGCGTGAGAGAGGTATACTATTACTACTATACTTGTCGTGCGTGAACGATTAACAAACCCAGTTCCTCCCTTGCTCCGTCACACCCCGCCGTTGCCGTTCTTCCCATCTGGTGCGTTCTATTTATTAATTCTTTTCTCACTTGTAATTTTTGGATTCAGTTATTTTGATGCTTACACTGTTCACCTCGATCTCGATTCTTTTTTGAAGATTTTCAACTCGTAATTCATTTAGATCAAGTTGTTCCAATTCGAATTCTGTTATCAATTTATAGATCTTAGTTTTTTTTTTCGCGTTTTTTTTTTCTTTTTCGATTTGAATCAATGATGAGTAAGCGATCATAATTTTAATCTGTCGCATTGAAAGTGTATAAGATCTGTGATTATTCTGTACTCAAATTTACTCTGGATTTCGATTTTGTATGAAATAAACCTTTGTTGAAATTTCACCCCCAATTTCAATGAGATACTCAATTGATTGAAAGTGCTGAAGAGAGATAGTATGTATTTGATCGATCAACTCTATTCATTGTCTCTGCATTTTACTGTTTCTCTTGTTTATGTTCTTCAGTAATACCAAATGGCCAACAGAGTTCAAGTTCCTACCAACAATTCATCGCTTATTGCCATGATTGCAGACGAGGTAAGAGTGTGGCTATGTTGTATATATATGTTCTTATTGCGTGCGTTTTTTGATTTTCGTCAGCAGTAGCATTTTTTAAATCTTCAGTTTGTGAATGTTGCAATAATTATTGATGTGGCTAATTTCAATATTTGTAACTCAGTACCTCTGTTTGATTTGCGACTTGTAAAATTGAGTATGTTTTGTTGAATTACTCTGGTTGTTACTTTATTTACTTGTTTATTTTGGGAATATATGTGTTTTGTGAAATTTTAGTCATGATCATGTGTCTAAAAGAACGTCAACGCAGATGATGTGGTAACTAGGTTGCATGAAAGTTGAGTCGGTTTTAGCTGTTCTTTGTGGTTAATATAGATCTGCCGCTAGAGAAATTTGTGATATTTTGAATATCTACTTTGCTTTCGGCATACAAGTGATTACGCACCATGACAAACTGATTAAGAAATAAATATTTGTAAATGTTCCTGGTGAATAGCACTAGAAGGCTTGGGATTTAATAGGTTAGGTTTTGGGTTTCTCGAATGGTTCAAATTTAGGGGTTAGAAAATAAGTGGATTGATAGGTTCTTGAGGAAGAGATTTGAGCCATAAGATGGATTAAGGAGTCAGATTGACGACATTTCAAATGCTGCAAAAAACCATTAATTTTGTTTATAATGATTTGAGTTTCCTCATAATAGATTCTAGCAAAAATTAATAGGATTTGAATAAAAGAGGAAATTGTGAGATCACTCTCATTCAAAGAAGTTAAATTTGTCACTGTTAAAATTGAAGAAAGGGATATTGAAATCATAGGAAAAGAAGAAAAATAGCCAGATGTCATCCTTAGGGGTTAGGTCACTTATTGCCCTTGGGCATCATTCATTGAGTTTGATTGCATCACAAACAGTCGAGAAGTAGCAATTTGCTTCCATATCACATAAGCTGATTTTTTATTGATATTTTGATAATCAAGTTTGTGAATTAAATAGGAGTATAACTACCCTAAGATTTTGAACACGTAGTCCTAAACTGCAGATCCAATTACCCCTAGTCGGATCCAGTCAATGACTAATATAAATGGAACCCTGAAATAAGAAAATAAAAAAATAAACTCCCCCAAAGCCAAAATTCATATAATTACAGTTGGAGCGTTAAACATGAGTAGATACTTGACTGTATAGCCTTAGCAGCAGTGCACTAAAATATTCATATGGCTGAAAACTGAAAGTAATAATATTTTGACATTATAAGTTTTCTAATCTGTATAACTAAAATTAGATATAATTTAGTCAGAAATTGAACATTACAATTTGCCCCAATTAATTTGAAACTAATTAATAACATATTATACTCTTCGAGCTTATGTTTTTTAATATTCCATATCCATTGTTGCCCAGATCATTTCCCCATTCCATTTTAGATTTAGATTTTTGTAATTGGTATCGTTATCATTATGATTGAAATGATTAAAATTCTCCTGTTTTATTTTACACAGGATACCATAGTTGGGTTTCTTTTGGCTGGAGTGGGAAATGTTGACATACGTAGGAAGACAAATTACCTTATTGTGGATTCAAGTAAGTCACTAAACTATATTTTATTCACCTTTCTTTATGAAGGCTAGTATCGAATTCCGTCTTACAATTTTTCTTGTTAATTTGTGAGCCGTGTTCATGAAGAGACTTTCTGCCTGTTCAACTAATTTTCAGGTTATGGTAGATACCCAATAAAAAATACACGCGTTCTTTATGTTTTATGATGAGTTATTGTTGTCTATTGAAGACATCATAAATAAGCATGAGAATGTGCTCCTCCTATGTGGGATGCATAGAAATGTTAGGAATGATTTCCACAAACCTTATCCTTAGTACATTTCATAGCATAGACACTCCCCAAAAAATTTCATAGCATGCTTATTTTGGCATGAACTATTTTTTTACAATGGTTCCTGAAATTGAGGTTGATCGGTACTTGAACCTCGGGTAGTACTTGGATTACTCACCACAGATTGATAAGATATCATCATTTTTTTACTCTGGATAGTATGTCAGGTTTTGAAAAAAAATCCCGCTAATTTCTTTGTCAGTTAAAATCAAATTGATTTGATTGTAAGTGTTTGTTTCATCTCTTGATTTTGATTTTCAGAAACAACTGTCAAACAAATTGAGGACGCATTCAAAGAATTCACATCACGTGATGATATTGCTATTGTGCTGATTAGCCAATTTGTAAGTCATATTTCATGGCCATAAAATGTCTTGGGCTGTTTTGTTTTTGCTTCTTAATTAAGTGAAACACTATATTATCTGCTACTGTTAGTTCCTACTTCCTAGGGCCTGAAACATCGGCTTGTTACTTTCAAAAGACTTTATTCTTATCCTTACCTACTACAGTTGATCACATTTTCTGTTCGGTAATCAACACTATTGTTGTGAAAAATCCTGGAGAGAATATTTTAATCATTTGCTGTGGAAGCTTTTAAAACTTACACGAGGTTAATCAATTATGCTTGATAACTGGATATTTTATTGTACAGACCAATGTGACAGTTCCAGTGGGAATCACTCATAAAATTGGCACTCTTTTGACAAGTTATTCAGTTTCTCACATTGGGTTTAGTTATTAGTTGGATACTTGAATCAGTCTTTTTGCTTATTCAGCCATTGTGATATCCTACCTGGGATTCAAAAACTATTTCATGCACCCAGTTCATATTTGGGAAACCTTGCTTATTTTGGCTTTTACTTTCATGGGTTATTTATTAATTCAAAGATCTTATAATTTCTTTGACTGTGCAGGTTGCAAATATGATAAGGTTTCTGGTTGATAGTTATAACAAGCCTGTTCCTGCAATACTTGAAATCCCTTCAAAAGACCATCCTTATGATCCCACCCATGATTCAGTTCTTTCACGAGTGAAGTATCTCTTCTCTAATGAATCAGTGGCATCTGATAGACGCTGAATCATCTTCGGTTTGAACTTTTTGGGTGTTTGTTGCTTTTCTTTGTACATTATGGTCAATAATCTTCTCTTGAAATTCATGAGTTCTAAGTAGCTTGAATAATTTCTACTGTTCGGTTATAATTTAAAATCCTGTTATAGATCTTCAAAGACAGGCCATTTATTGTCGCTTCTGATGAAATATTAGCAAATATGCACTTGTGTCATTTCTACTTAATTTTGAGTAATTTCAAGTTTCAACATCTGTTTGAAGATTCTATGTTATGACATACTACTAGTTATATTCTTTAATTATGCAAAATGCAATGTGATATAGTTTTCTTCAAACCAACACCAATCATCAATGTGATCTAGTTACAAAATGCAATGTGATATAGTTCTCTTCAAACCAACACCAATCATCAATATGATCTAGTTACGGATTTGGTTGGCAAGGATCCAGTGTTTTAAAAACCGGATCGAACCGGCCGGTCAAACTGGAAACCGGAGAGATCACCGGTTTGGTTTGATTGTTGGATTAGATATGTTATTGAACCAGTAGAAATTGGTCAAAACCGGCCAAATTCGCTAAAAACCGGTGAACCAACGGTTTTGAAAAATCGGCGGACACTGTTTTGATAATTTTGTTTTTTTAAAATAAAATTAAAATATAAATGAACTTTATTCAAAACTTATTTGAAACAATTTTTTTCGTTTGGAATTAGATATTGTTTAAAATTTATTTGGTTTGTATTTTGTACTATTTTGTCGTGTGTGATGATTACGGTAAGAGTTTGAATTTAAAGAATGAACTTGTGAAATTATGATATTTTGAAATTTTGTAGGTGTCCTGTTATTTTTAGAGACCGAGTCATCTGGTTCAAACGATTTATTAAATATATGATTTTTTTTATATAAATTGATTTATTCAGGCGAGTTATTCAATTTAATCTGATATAATCATGTGGTTTGACCAATGAACTAATGACCTAGTATTTTCACCGACCAATGAACTAACGACCTAGTATGTCGTTCCCTACTTCATTTATTTATTTAAAGTTAAAAAAAATATTTAAAAATTATTATCGAAAATCTTTTACAAAACTTTATGATATATAAAAAAAATATTTAAAAATTAATCACCGCAACTTTTTTTCAAAGTTTTTCAATATATAAAATAAAAATTAATATTAAAGAGTAATTGGTAAAACTCTTTTGTAAAGTCTTCTAACACAAATAAAAATTAATGCTAATAACTTACTATTAAGATTTCAAATTTTTTGATATATAAAATAAAAGTTAAAAAATATTAAAAATTAACTATCGATTTTTTTTTAAAAAAGTCTTCAGAAACACAAAATAAAAATTAAAAATATTTAAAAAATAAAATAATAAATTAGTTAACAATATACAATCAAAGTTGATATTTTTGATAAAATATAAGGGTATGTGAATAAATGTAAAAGTGTGAAGTAAAATTTTCTGTTTGGTTTTGGAATTTACCGTAATGATTTCTCTTTGGAATAAAAAAAAATTAGGCGGATATTTTGAAATTTAGTTAACATGAAATAATGTGAATTTTTTTCATCCTTGCCATCTTTTTAGAAATTTATTTTTAAAATGTCATATATTTCAACAAATATACTAAAATGCGAATTTTTTTAAAAGTAGCAATGTTATATAATTTAATTATCAAATAAAACAAGCTTTCAAAAAAATTACCAAAATGAAAAACTTTGAAACTCATCCAGCAGCATTCGCCAGATGGTTTGGCGAATTAGTTAAAATGTTGTTTCAAGGCATTCGCCAAATGGAATGGCGAATTAGGCCATTTGGAAATTGGCGAATGTGGCTAATTTTTAGGGTTTCCAATTTTTTTTTCGTTTTTCTTGTTTTTTTATCATATATTTAAAGTTTTAAAAATTTATTTGTTTTTTGATTTTAATATCATTATTATTAGTAACTATAAAATATATTAATTTATAATATAAATAATATTAATATAATTAAAATATTATTATTAGTAACTATAAAATATATTAATTTATAATATAAATGATGATTGAATCGAAGGATAATTTTTTTTTAATAATTAATTTAAGATTTATTGAGTCTTCTTCTCATTCACCACAACTTACTAATGAAACTGATCACACAATGTCATCGATGAATCATACGAAGATCGAAATTTAATTTGTTTTTTTTTCTTGTTGACTTGATTGTAAGTTAGATTGTTTATTTTTTTTTAATTTAGTTGGACAAATAATTATTACTAACTTGGTCGTGAGAGTCATTTTTAATAACGTGACTCTAGCAATACTTGTTACTAACTTTATAATCGTTTTTAGTAATTGATTGTTCTATGTAATTAAATTTATCTTATTTAAATTTAAAACATTTTAAATTAAATTTTAATTTTTTAATTTTGGTTATTTTAATATTTAAAATTTATAATGTTTTAAAATTTTATTTAAACTATAAAATTATTGATTATGTACTTGAAAAACATTATAAGTTTTCATTTTTGTTTTATTTTAAATTTATTATTAAAATAACTATAACATAAATTTAATATTTTTATATTTAAAAATTTATTAAAACTAAAATTTGTGATTTATCTGTGGTTATTTTATGCGAATTTATTTGAGGATCTTTTTGCCAAATATATTATTCATAATGGTTTTAGTTGGTAATCAAAAAGTCATAAAAAACCATTTTATGCAAAGATTTAGTTAAAATATAGAAAAGGTTGTCCTGCTGATTTTGACTATCTATTTTGATTGTATTCTTAAATTATTTTAATAGACTTCAGTTTCTAGTTTTTGACTATCTATTTCGCAATCTTGTGCCTACGTACCCTCATAGTGCAATGAGGAAGTCAAAGCCTACGTAGTTCGAGGAACTAACGCTAAAAAAAAGAAAAGTAAAAGAGACGGCATCAAAGCCAAGAGCAAAAAGAGGGAAGCAAGACCCTACTAGGGGAAGCAAGATAAGTGATGTCAAAACCAAGAAAGAAAAAACAAAGGGAAACTATGCCGAGGAAGTCAAAAGAGAAGTGATAGCTCCACTAGGTAATACTGGAGAACAGAGATGACTCCATTGGGAAGAAAACAAAAGAATGACAATATTGTTGGGGGAAAAAGGACAAGAATCAAAGTAAAAGGTAAAATCTGCAGGGGATTCGGTTCATTAACTGACATGCAGTGATTAACCGTAGAGAAGATAAGAGCAAAACTTTGTGGGGAGAGCAAAAAAAGGTTAGTGTCAACAGACAGACTGCGACGACACGGGATAAAAGAGAATACTAAACCCATACCAGGTGTTTGACTCCAAGGGGAATTCGGTATATTAACTGATAAACAGTGGTTAACCGAAAAGAGAAAAGAGCCGGTCTTAACCGGTAGACGGTGATCAACCAAAAGAAACGGGTGTAGAACCAAGCAAAGGTCATGACCCAAAGAACGGTATGCTGACTGAACAAATAGTATTTGACCGAAGGAACGGGTATTCAAACCGAACAAAGGTTATTAACCCAAATCTGGAAGTATTTGAACCAAAGAAAGGTTGCTAACTGCAGAGAGTTTAGTGTTTAACAGACAGACTGTGATCAATCGAAAAGAATGAGTGTTCAACTAAGAGAGGGTGATTAACTCAAAAGAAAAGTCAGTATTTTAATAGAAGGACTATGGTTAACTGAGCAAAAGAATAATTAGTTTAAACAGGAGGACTGTGATTAACCAAAATACGACGATTAACCAAAAGAAGGTGATTAACCCCAAAGAAAAGCTGGTTTTAATGGGCAGACCATGATCAACCAAAGAACAGGTGATTAGCTGAAAGAAGGCGACTAACCCAAAGAAAGCTCAGTATTAATAGATAGGTTGTGATTGACTGAGGAAAAGGAGACTGGTGTTTAACTGACAGAAAGTGATTAACCAAGAAAGAAGGAGAGAGAACCAAGAGAAGGTTGCGAACTCCGATGAGGACTAGGTTTGAACAGAAAAACTGTGTTTAACCGAAGAAAAATGATTGACTTCAATAAGGGAGAAGAGAATTAGTTTTAACCGAAAGACAGTAGATCAACCAAGCAAAGGGATGGAGTAACAATCTCAGGCGAAATCAAGGATGGATTGGCTGTAAGAGAAAAGAGTGTTGAATCAAAAGGAGTTTCCTCCAAAGAGGAGATAAGGGTGCAAGTGATCAAGAATCGACTCGACTGGAGAAGCAGGGATACCGCAGTAAGTGTCATACCCCAAATTTGTCCTACTTGTACAACTTTCATTCAGTATATCCACCCCCCAGTTATTATAAAATTCAAAAAAAATAATATGATTGCTTATGCTCATGGACCACACTCACAATATCACAGGGTCGAAATAAAAGTGTTGCAAGATTCACGTGAGGTTTGTCAAGGAAGATCATGGTATAAAGTTCCAGGGGTGCACGCTCGGAGTCTCAGTTAAGGTTTATGGGTGGACTCAAGGTTTTGGTACAGCTGTAATGCAGTCCATATCAAGTTATCATCTCCTGATTTCAAGACTTTTGAGAAGTCCAGTTTATAAAGAATGATTGTGGTTCAGCTACAACCCAATTGATGTTAGATCAAGATAACTCCATTTCTTTATCAGGCCAGGATGAGAGTATGAATCAATTCAGTGTTCTATTTGAGTGAAAATCCAAGAATGATGTTTATGGGAGTCATGGATTATGGATTATATTTTGAAATTCTAAGTCACAAATTAAGGTTATTCATGATCATGATTAAGCATGATTCAAAAGCACGGACGGAGGATTAATTCATTTTTCTGGTTTCATTTATTTTATGTGAAAGTTCAATAAGTGTGCATAATAGATGAGGGAATTGACTTTTATCACATACGGAGTCGAAATCGCTTTTCTTTCAAGATTTCAATTGGTCAAAAGGACATATGGAGGGTATATTAATAACACTGAGGTCCATTTCATCTTTTTTTGTCAAGCCCATATTTATTAATAATTCTGCAAAGAAGAACTCATTCCACT